GGGGGTGGAGTGGGGAATGGGATCAAAAATGGTGGAGGGAGGGAAATGCACTGACTATGGTGATGGCACATGGGTGATTTGGTGATGGGAAGCCCATGGGGATTACAACTGAGGTGGAAAAAGGCTCAAAATGATGTAAAAATAAGCTATTACATTAAAATTTTTAAAATGCCCCCTGTGACCTGGTCTGCCTATTTTTCCAACCAGGTTCTCCCCCTTCCGCTTCTCTGGGTCTCCCTCCAGGCACAGAGCCTGCTGTGACCGGACCAGAACCTAGGGAATTCTCACACATTAGCCTGGGTGAACAAGACTGAAACACTGGAAGGTCTCGCAGGCCTAACTCACTGACGACAGCATTTCTGGCCCTGTGACAGGTAGAAAAGACTTTGGGGTTCTCTCTGAGCACACAAGCCAGGACAGGCAGCTACCTGGTTGGCATGGAAGGCGCTGAGCCAGCGCTCGATGTGGGTGGCGTACCAGCCCGGGACCAGGCAGCGGTTCTGGAGGGCACGGAGCTTCGGAGATGCGTCAGGCCCCGCTGTGATCACCTCGTGGAACGTGTACTTCAGGGCCACTGGGTCGTCATGCGCTCTCTGATGCTACAGGCAGAGCAGGGAGCAGAGGGTCAGCGCGTCCCGGGAGAGTACAAAGGAAGTCTTTCTGAGGGCTTTCTAGGACCGGAGGTCATGGACTCTGGGCAGGAGCCAGGAGCCTGCAACTCAGCCCTCATTGCCTCTCATTGCTGTGTGGTCTCAGGGAGTCACTGGCCCCCTGGCCCCCAGTTTTCCCATCTTTGGGAGTCAGAAATTGGACAAAGTCAGTTCCTAAACGGCAGTCATTCACTCATCATCTCTGTGGTTGCTGTTACATCCACAAACTACCTGAGTGAGCCAATATCAACACAATTCTCATGACACTGACTCACCTTTCTTACTCAGAACAGTTTATTTTAAAATAAAACTTACTGTTGCCTCCATAAATGAAAAGCTAAAAATCCACTGTCATACACACAGAAGATAAGCATTCGTAAATTGCATAAGAGACAACAAGAAATAAAGCAGAGTTCTCAAATGCCAGCCAGACACAGATGCCTGCTGCAGGCCCCTGCGCCCCGAGTGTGTGCTGCCTTTGAGGTAAACAGAGCCGGCTGCATTAGCAGGGCCTTGAGAGCCATTTAGAACAAATAGATCTTCTGCTTCACAGAATCAGGTGTTAAGGACTAAATATTTGCCTCCCCCTCCATGTTCCCACATTGAAGCCCAGATGCCCTCAGTGTGACAGCATCTGAGTGGCATTTGGTAGGTAATGAGGCTTTAGATGTGGTAGGACCCTCACAGTGGGCTAGGGAGTCCAGAAAACCTGTGCACTCTGCCCAATATGGATGCAATGAGACTCCCACCATGAACCAAACCAGAAGGAACCTTGACCTTGACCTTGGATTTCTAGCTTCAAAACTGAGAAATAAATGTGGTTGTTTAAGCCACCCACTTGGTGATATTTTGTTATGGCAGCCCTAGGAAAACCAAGAACAAGGTTGGGAGAGAACTAGAAAGGCAGGGGGCCCTGGTGGCACAAGGGGTTAAGGCTCTCTCAGCATTATCAGAGATTGCCAGACACTGCAGCATGAGTTTGATCCCCAGCAAGAGAGGTGACCGACATGGCCCAGCAGACCACTCCTGTCTCACCTGCTGCTCCCCTCAGCAGTGTACTTCAGTAAATCTGCCTTTTCTGCTCCCCATTCTGTCTCTGGTGAATCTTCTCACCCCCATCTCTGTACTCATGGCCTACAGCCCAGTTCTTCTATGCATAAATAAAAAATAAATAAATAAATCTTAAAGAAAAAAGAACTAGAAAGGTAAACATGCCAGGTGTGAAATGACCTAAAATAATTCCACGGCCCTCTGGCACCTACAGAATCCCCATCCCCCAAGTCCAGAGAGTAGAAACCCCTGCCCACCAGGGGGCAGCCCTCAGCAGCCTCCACACCCCACCAAGACTCATTGGTGGCTGGGGCTAGGACCATGTCGTGCAGAACAGCCTCCCAGCCCACCTGTCCCAGCTCCCACCAAAACAGGCCAATGTCCTTCCTCCCTTCCAGTGCCTTTCCAGTTCCTCTGGTGGGCCTTAGTCTCCCTTCTTATCCTTCCTTGACATTGGACATAGAGGTCATGGATTCAAAAAACCTGCAAACTTGCTGAGCCCTGGTTTGTTCTTTCCTTGACTGTGAGAAGGGGACGTGCAGAGACCCCTCTGCTTTCTAAAGAATTTTCTAAAGAACAGTGAGAGGCAGACGCAGAGCAGTATCATTGCGATAGACGGGGACTGCACCACGACAGCCCCCCTCCCCCATATAAGCAGACAACTGGCCATGCTCAAGGCCAGGAAGTGGGGCAACAAGACAGAAGCGAAAAGACCTTAAGTGTTGCTGGCTTTTGTCTTCCAGAGACAAACTCCAGAAGAATGACATCAGTAGTAGACAGCAAGTGAAAGAAAGAGGGGTCCCTGGCTCCAGGAGGAAGAGGGGAGCTATGGCTTGGGAATGGGAGTGACTACAGTCTGCATGCACCCTACCTCCCGCCAGCCCTGAGAAGGCAGTGAGGCCCCCCCAAGAGAAAAGGGACATCAGATGAGCAGGATCCAGGTGTGGCATGGAGCTGCCGGAAGTAGGCCGCTAGCCTTCCCAGACCAGCTAGTGACGAGGGACCACAAGCCCACGCTGGTGTATAATCCCAGGAGAACTGTTGGGCAGAGGAAGAAACCCCCAAAAAGCTGGTGCCTAACCTTTCCTGCAAGCTCAGTGAGTGGCACTCAGAAATAGTTAAGTCAAGACACCAGAGCGAAAAGGCAGTCCCAGTTCTTCCACAGAAGGGTCTTGACTCTCCTCGGCCATGGCAGCACCCTCCTCTCCTGATCAGGTAAGAGAGGCCTTGTATCTGGCCCTCTGAATCCCCACCCCACCAGGGCCGCAGGGAGATGGCCAGTAAGCATGAGCCTTGGTCACTCTGTGTTGAATCTAGGTCTCGTCAAGGTGGAACCAACTCCCGCCAACACCTAGACCCTCCAACTCCAACTCTGTCAGAGTCAGAATCAGAGGCAGGACCCCTACAAGTGAGACGGTGGGCAGGCAGCTGCTGGGTGCACTGGGTATGAGTTCCTGCCTGTGTCCTCAGCAGGCCAGAAGCAGCGTGACAGATCCATGCTAACCCACACAGGGCACCCAGCTCGGGGCTGAGCCATGGCAGACGCTTAGGAAACACGTGCTTAATGAATCCGTGAACGGCTGCGTGGCAGGGCCTATGCCCCCACCCGGGCCCCAGCCAGCCCCAGCTCACCTGGTACCAGGAATAGGCCCGGTCGGCTGGGTTGATGAGGATGGTCAGGACCTTAGCCTTGGGCAACAGGGCAGCTGCCCGCCGGGGTGCCACTTCTGAATCAAAGTAGTTGGCGCTTTTCTCAAAGTAGAAATCAGAGGTGGTGTTGGAGGGGATAGGGAAAAACTCCATGTACCTGCAGAAAGTTGAGAGAGGGAGGCTCACAGGTTAGACTCACTAGAGCCCGAGGAACACAGCAGGGAGGGCCAGGGCCCCAGGGGAAGCTTCAGAAAGCTAGTAGCACACGGGCAAGCTAGTAGCACACGGGCTCCCAACCAGACAGGCCACTGCTGCAGGTGTGCTTCAAGTGAGGCCCTTGGCATCTCTTTTTTCTGAGTCCAGTCCCTCACAGGGGAGACCAGGCGGCCTGGAGATCTACAGACTCGGGGGGTGATACCAGCTGAGGGACAAAGAAAGCGTTGTCTCTCCAACGTCAGCGGGATATTCCCAGTTAAACTGAGAGGGCCTAACTCTGTCTCTAGGGAACGAGCTGGCACTGGGCTCCACTCTGATCTGGGAGGGGAGTGGCCAACAGAAGGGGACACCCTTCACCTCCCCAGTGCACGGCTCCTTTCCTGACTCAGCGTGACATTTTCTAGACTCCTACTGTGGACCAGAAGACAAAACTGGGGTGGGGGAGAGGCAAGGGAAGGGAGGAGTCACCTCCTGGCACACAGCCCCCTCCCCAGCCTCAAATGGGTGAATCGCCAAGCTCTCTGGATGCTCACCCCCCTCACTGGAGTGCTCACCCACACCAGTCCCTTTCAACCACCTCTGAGCTGTCGGCCCCTCAGACCCTCCATGGCATCTACTCAGGCACAAGAGACACACAACTTTGGGGATGCTGAGGAGCCAAGGCCACAGGCCCACCCCACTTATGGATATAAGAGCCCTACACTGTACTGGGAGACAGGGGTTCTCCAGGATGGAACTAGAACCCCTTTATGACAACCACTTGGGGCTTGTGAGAGTCCTGAACCCCACCCGAGACTTACCCACAAAATCTAAATCTTGGAAATGGGGCTGAGGAAATGCTCTCCATCTCATCTTTCTGGAGGGTCTTTATAAAATAACATTTGGCTGTCCACAACCCAGAGTTTGCAATACTTAAGCTGAAAAAATGCCAAAAACAGAACCTTCTTCCTCACGTTTATAAGCGCTGACATCTGGTAGCAAATCTGACTGATTAATCTTAGTGTAAATCTTCACAGTTTTTGCTAAGCATGTTAATATACTTGCTAATGGGGTGCTGCCCCGGGCCCTGCAGCAGGTGTTCGTAAGTGTGCGTCATGCTGCACCCCAGTACCACTCTAACAGTCACGATGCACCGACTTCCAGCAGCGCACTGGCTACTGTGGGTTTGAAACAAGAGCCTGTGGACATATTAGTGATATAGATGATAGACAGGCAGGTGGGTAGGTTAAAAAAAAGACAATTCCTCCTTGCTAAACCACTCACACAAAAATAAGAAATAACAGTAGCACACATACAAGGTCAGAAAGTACACAGCAGAGGACAACACGAATCGGAAGATGGGAGTGCTAAAGTCCCGTGCTGGCTCCACACACACTGGTAACTCTGGCAGGCCTGCTGGGAAGCCGCAGGGTCACAGCCGCCCGCCCGGCACATAGGCCAGGGAGAGGCCTCACAGGGCCCACGGAACTCCTGCTCCACGCAAGCCAAGCACAGCAGGAGGGCCTGCTCCTGGGTCAGAACTTTTGGAGTCAGTCCCTGCTCTGTCCTCAATTCTCAGGGCCAGGGGCACGTCCCTGTCCTCCTCTGGGACTCCGGATGTTTCCCTGCAGTCCACACAGGGGCTGGACCTTGACTTCCAGCAGCTTCTGACTCCAGGCAACAATGTAAAGCGGCAAAGGCCTTCCTCAGTGAATGTCCTGCCTGTGACGAGGCTTCCCACCATGCCTCAAGGGTCAACAGACTTTAGCCCTGTTTACAGGAACTTCAGCTGGGTGTGAGTGAACACCAGCTGCTTCCTGCCATGACCCAAGCAGAGATCCTCCTGGACGGCTCTGCCACAGCCGTCCCATCTCGTTGTAGGTAAGAAGGTCCACTCACCAGTCGATGCCTTTGTGATAGTTGTGGCCATTAAAAAACTGGATTTCCTCAAATGTCTCGGAGCTGGGGTAGTTGCTGCTGAGGTCGGGGTGCATGCCCAGGAACAGGTAGAGGGCTGTGGTGCCTGCAAGACAGAAGGCAGCTGAGCACGAAGGCGACATCTAACGTTCTAGCTTTCCGGTGTTCCCGGAGAGGTCCTGGGCAAGTCCCTATTGTCCGAGGCTGTTTCCTCAGCGATACAATGAAGGCATCAGACAACACCCCAGTGGCAAATACAGAGTGTTTCTGTGGTCACCCCACCTGACTCAAACATCACTCATCAATCAGCACTCTTGTTACTAAACAAGGACGTGGCCCTCCAATCCGCAGCATCATACTCCAGCAGCCACATACACCGACCTGTGTCTCCTCATGCTCCTGACTTCTTGTCTCTTCACACTTCCTGCCAGCTCAGAGCCTCTGTCCTCTCTGAAACTCAAGTGCCGTTTGGAGAAAAGGGCGCTCCAGACCCTCCTGTCGGCTGGCATGAAATTCTTGAAGTGCTACAATATGTAGCTCAAATGCCTCCTCTTCTGAAGGTCTCACTCACTCAACTCCTTGCCCGACCTGACGGCTAGGACCCACCCCTCCTTTAGAGAGCTCCTTTCCTGCATGTGAGTCTAACCTGTCTAGGTGCTACAGTGAAGAGTCTCAAAAAAGCAGACTGTAGAGTTTGTTAATGACAAGGTACAAGTGTTGGGCTCATACAGACCAGGATTCACACCTGGATCCGCAAGGTATTAGGGGCAGTCCTTACCTGCCCTGCTTTCTGTCTGCAGTAGCAGTACCTATTCCTGCCCTAAAGGGTGTGGGGCTGGGAAATACTTTGCAACCAAGTCACCACTCCTCCCACCCACGCCTCTGGCAGACAAGATTAATTGATCATGGTCCTCTACATGGAACCAGTTTTGCCTGGTACTGCTCAGACCTGCCGAGTAGCTGCTCCGGGCCTCCTGCCTGGATGGGGAGACTCTGAGAACACAGGCAGCGCCCCCGAGGCTGAGTTCAGACGGAATTCTATGCCCACCCTCCTCTACCCCTTCCCACATCTATATTCCAACTTTACCGTCCCTTCCTGGGAGAGGTGGACAATTATTAGGGAGTGGGTCCAGGGTCAGATGGCCCCAGAATTCTGGGCTGAGACTGTAGATGGGGGAGGCTGGTCACAGTGGAGGGACCTGCCTGTTTTCTGAGGGCCAATGATGAGAAGCTTTGGGAAGCGGTCACATGTCTTCTCCTTAGACCAGATGTCTTTGTGGCGCTTGTCCTCACACGGGTCCTAAAACAACAGTGGAAGGGAAGTCAGGGAGGCCGAGGTCCAGTGAGTGAGCGCCAGCACACGTGGGTATATGGTGCGGACACCCTGTCAGGCACAGTAACTACGCATGTCCCTGTCGCAGCCCCACCTCAGCCGTAAGTAGTTTAGGCTTGGGTACTACCGAGTCACTATGGCCAACTTAACTATGGTTTTCAGCTTAGGATTTTTTGACTTTGTGATGGTGTAAATTTTTTTAAAGGTTTATTTATTTATGTATATAAGAGCTGGGGTACAGGCCAGAGGTGCAAGGAGTAAGAGGATCCACCAGAGACAGCATGGGGAGCAGAACAGGCAGATGTATTGAAACACACTGCTGAGGGGTGCAGCAGGCGAGTCAGGGGAGGTCTGCCTCGCCATGTGGGTCACCTCCCTGGCTGGGGATCAAATCACTCTGCAGTGGATGTGGATAGCCTCATAGTATATGTTTTAACCTGTTTCGCCACAAGGGAGGGCCCCTGAAACTTAGTGTTTTGAATTAAAGCATTGCCTTTAACTTCTACTACAGTATTCAGTAAATTACATGAAATATTCAACACTGTATTATGAGTAGGTTTTGTATGAGGTGATTTTATCCAGAGCTTTACGCTAATGTAAGTGTACAGAGCATGTTTAAGGTGGGTGAGGTTAAGCTCTGATGACCTTTAGATTAGTCATATTAAATGCATTTCTAATTTGCAATATTTTCAATTTACGATGAGCTTATTGGCACAAAACTCCATCATAAGTCTAGAAAGATATGTCAGTGAAGTCACATGCCACAAACAGGCCACGTTCACATCCTGCTTCCAGTTTTTGACTACTCCCAGGGTCAGATATGCCCAAGAATGGCACCTAACCCTCCCTGTCCATGGCTCAGCGTCTGTTGGAGTTAGGGGGATGCAGAAGCTGGTCCGGAGTCTCCACAAGGCCCAGCAGCAGCCTTCTCTACGTGCTATGCCACGTTCACTGGTGCCCTTCAATGGTGCCTTTTCAGAGGCTATGCAGAGGCATCATGTGGTGCCCAGGGGGGAGATGTGTGCACAAGAAGAGTGGATATGCCCATGCTGATGAGCCAATGTCTACACCTACATGTAAGTCTAAGTCTAATGTCTACACCTAAGTCTAAGTCTAAGTCAGGGCGAGTCTGAGGCAGGAGGGCCACACCCATGTCTGAGTGCTAGGGAATCCACCCCAGACCCCATGCCCCCTGGCTCCCACACCCACCTGCCAGAGAGGGTCCTTCTCCTCAGAGAAGATCTGGAAATACTTCTGAGCCAGCTGCACAGGGGGTAGTGTCTGCAGCCGGAGGTTGGTCCAGGAGTGCAGGAAGTGCACCAGGTGCTTGAAGGTGTATAGGCCCAGGCGGTCATTGCCATAGTTGGACAGGTGTGTCATGAAGATGCTGATCTGCACCAGGGCGGGTGGGGGAAGTAGGGGCTGCTCAGCTTCAGAGCCCCCTTCGCCCCACTTCCAACCCTTCAGCTTGCAGGGCCCTCAGATGACCAGTCTGAGGGTCACCTGGGTCATCAAAGTCATGGCGTGACCCAGGCAGGGCAGGGGCAGTGGAGGTGGGTGTGCCAGCCGGGCTATTCCAGGCGGGATGGGAAGTTGCCCTGCAACACAGTGATTTGGGGGTTCTCTGGGGCTTTGGCAACAGGGTGGGAGGCAACGCATGAAAGATAAGGAGCACAAAACCACTGACACTGAATAATGCCACTTAATATCTAGTTAACATCATCGAAGCATGAGAGATTACTCCCACTTTATAAACAAGGAAAGAGTCCCAGGAAGCTCACTTAATAGCTTAAAATGTGTGTTTATATACTTATACAGAGATTAATTTATTATACTTTAAAATCTTAACATATATACGGATATGAATAGGTAATACTCACATAGACCTTCACATATCCATTACGTGTGCATGCATACATCTATACACACACACTGATAACCCACCATATATACATACAAAGATTGGAAAAGCATCCAAACAAAAATAGTAAAATTAAAATTATTGTAATGAAGAGGGAAATTAAGAAGGGGAAAAGACATCTCAGACTTGACCTAAGTCATGCAACAGAGGGGAGATGGATCTGGGCCTGGAGCACTCACAGGGTTGAGGAGCACGGTGAGGAAGAGCTCGCCCCCATTGATGATCTTGTCCAGCTCACCAGAGCCCCCTGGGTACTCGTTGTAGAAGATGGTATGTGTGAAGAGGCCACAGGTCTGCCGGGGGAGGACCTGGAGAGGGAGTGGGAGGACAGAGCTGGCATCCCCAGGCCTGGATGGCGGAGGGCAACCCTATTCAGAGGACGCCAAGTGTTGCCTCGAAGAGCCCACCTCGAGTGGGGCTGCACAGCCCCAGCAGCGAGGATCTGCGAGGATCTGCGGCCTAGACAGGTCTCCATGAGCCGTGAGGCCCAATGCATGTACTCCACTGCTGGTCTCTGTGCAAGGACAGAGGAAGGACAGGCAGGGACCCCTGGACTGTCTACCCAGCGAGGGTGCTGGCCTTCTCTAAGCAGCACCCCCAGCCTGACCCTGCAACCACCCCTACAGCTTCAGGGCCCCATCCATCAGCCCTCCTAGGATGCACCGAGTGAACTGCTTGCTTCCCTGTCTCTCCTCACAAAATTGGGCCCCAGAGAGCAGGGAACTGGCCTGCCCTGTCAGACCCTCATCCTGGAGGTAAAACAAGCGCTTCATGCTAAAGAGGATGCAAGGACAGCCAGGCAGACCAACAAGTAAATGCATCAGACCTGGCCTTCCCACGGCTACCTCCTCCAGGGTGATGACCACTCATCCTCCCAGGGGCTCAAGTCAGAACCTTGGAGTCATGCTCAATTCCTCTCTCCCCTTCAGCCTGCATCCAGCTTATACCAGACAGATTCTGCTGGCTCTAACTCATAAGGGAGTGAAGGATTTGATCATGTCTCCACACCGCACCTTGCTCTGAGCCACTGTCACCTCTGAACTCTGCACTGGCCTCCTACATGGGCTGACTGCTTCTCATCTTGGCCCCTACAGTCTGCCCCACACAGCAGCCAGAACGACGGCAGCACATTAAAAGCAAGAGTCAGGTCACAACATGCTATTCTAAACCTCCGACCTGAGACTAAAAGCCACAGTCCAGGGCCCAGCCAGGGAGGTAACTGACATGGCGCAGCAGACCTCTCCTCACCACCCGCTGCTCCCCTCAGCAGTGTGTTTCGCTCGATCTGCCTGTTCTGTGCCCCGCTCTGTCTCTGGTGAACTCTTACCCCTACGCCTCTGGCCTGTACCCCAGTTCTTGTACGCATAAATAAGTCTTTTTTTCTTTTAAGCCACAGTCAATAGCTTTAGCCCCACACAATCTGGCCCACCGTCCTTGGCCTTCTCTCCCACAGCCTCCGTGTACATGCACACGCTCTTCTCCAGCCTGGCCGGCCTCTTAGCTGGCCCTCCAACGCTCCCATACAAGCCTGCCTCAAGGCCATGGCACATGTTTCTCTGCCTTGAATGCTCTCCCCCACAGAGCAGCATGGCTCATCGCCAGGAAGGGCCCCCAACCACCTTGAAATAACTCCTCTCCCGGGCACTAAGCACCATCAGACCACTACACACTTGGCACAATTAAGAGCACACACACTGTCTCCTGCCCTGGAATGGTGCTTCTGCATGACCAGTGCCCAAAGGACAGCCACACAGACGAAGTTCATGAAACTGTTCAAACAAGCAGACAAGTGACTGGCACAAAAGCTCCTTGAAAGAATGCTCACCCTATCACCAAAGCTCAGAAGGCGCTCAGGAGAGGGGCAGTCCACAGCCACCTTCCCTGCAACAGAGCTTCAGATGCAAGAAGGGCAGCAGAGACTGCCTTAACGTCCCAAACCAGCCCCCGAAGCCAACATGCACGCACCCGGCCAGGGCGGCCAAGGCCCACTCACCATGATGCCATTGTGGATGAAGCCACGGCGGTAGCGGGCCGGCTTCAGGTGAGGATACTCCTCCGTGCTCGTCACGCGGATGCCCCACACCTGCTTCCAGGCCTCATACAGCTGCACGTGCACAGGGTACACACCCGAGTGGTGAGGTGCCACCGCGTACCCCATGTCGGTGGGAATGCCATGCTCCTGGGGAGAAGAAGGCCAGGGCGGGATGAGCCTGGGATTCCTTCCACTCTGGGATTTACCTCCCCTGTCAGGAAGGGAGGTAAGCCGCAATACAGTGTGTCTGTGCTCTCAAAGCACAGGTGGGGAAACTGAGGCCCAGGGAGGGCGCCCTGGGATCTCAGGATGAGGGGCTGGGCCACTCTTGGCGCTGTCCGTGTGCCTGCCTTCTAGCGCCTCAAACGAGAAACAAGGAACAGGCTTTTCCTGCCTCTCTGGGCCGCCTCTGCTTGACGAGTGAGCCCAAGCTGAGCACCCAGCCTTGCCCCCGCTCAGCTGGGCCTCTTCCCCAGCCTGATGCTAAGGGTTCGGGCTTCAGACACAGGCAGGCTTGGGCTGAGCCCGGCCGCACCCCTTAGCTGGATGTGGCTGCCCTGAGCTCCAGCTTTTTGTCTAAAAGTCAGGCTATCACTACCTGACTCTGGGGCTCTCTACGAGACGTGAGAGAGACAGTGGGTCTCAGGACATGCATAAAAAGCTGACAGCTCCAACTGTAAAAGCAGGAGGCCCCAGCTCAGCCCCCACCCGGCCCCACGTGCACACGCCCCTCCACCCCCCACCCCCCGACCCCCACCCCCTGGTCTGCCTATAGGGAATCTTACTCACGACAGCGAACTTCTTGTTCAGGGCCATCTGCTCAGCCAGCACTGACTGGTTGTGGAAGAGGTGGGGCTGCATGTGGCTCCACATGTGGGGGAACCACCAGAACTCCTTCACATAGGACAGCAGCAGGTCATCGCCCGCGTCCTCGGCGTCGGTACCTGCGCGGCACAGGCAGCTCAGCCCAGCCCGGCCGCCAGCCAGCGCAAGGACAGCTCACAGCAGGCCACAGCTGCCTGGACTCCAGCACGCGAGGCGGCACCTACAGGGCCCTGGCTGGGGTGGCCTGGAGTGTGGCCTTGACTCACTGGTTTCCCCACGTTCTCCCCTCTGGGCCCACATGTGCCGCGTGGGGTTCTGAGGCAAGGATCTCAAGGCTCTCCTGTTTTCCCACTGGGCCCTTTATCTTCCACTTACTGATGTGCACAAGCTCTTTGTATATCCTCGACATTTAACCTCTGACTCATGCCTATCACTACAAACACCTCCGATACGCTAAGGCTGAGAATACTAAAAAGTGCAGAGATGGCCCAGAGGGGTTTGGGTGGGGGTTGGGGGCTATCTTGTACATCTGGCCCCCAAACTGTAGGCTAGCTGGTTTTGCCCAGACTCAAGAGTAGCTGCCATCCTGTGCCTGTGCAGCAAGTGGCCAGGGGTGCACGCTGCAGTGAGGCACCCTGAGGGTGTCCAGTGAGAGCCAAGACTGGAAAATCAACTAGGCAGTGGTGACCGCTGATCTGGAAACAACTACAGGGTGTTTTTACATCCTACAGTATGCATTTCTGGCCTTAAAATTAAACTCATTTTTAAAGCATAAAAAATACCAGTAACATTAAAAGATGGGATGGGGCAGAGAGAGAGGGAGAGGTGAGTGCAGCTTCCGTTCCCTGATGGACGCACTGGGATTGTTGGCTCAGGGAGGCCACGGGGGTCGAAGACAACCCTACAGCAGGCCACCAGCCCCTGGTCACACCCTGACACTGTGCTCCAAGGGCCCTGCGGTTCAGGATCCCTTGGAAGATGCTGGAAGCACAGCCAGGCCTTACCTGTGTGGAAGAATTTCCCTGAGTAGCCCATGTTGAAGGTGAAATTAGGGATGTGTGTGCGGAGTTCATTCTGTGTGTCAAACAGGGCCTAGGAAGGGCAAAGGGAGAAGAGTAGTAAGAGGAAGCCAGGAAACCCCCCTCCCACCCAAGGCCCCAGAGGGTCTGGCTGCTTCAAGACTACAAAGACTGCAGGCCTCAAGGAGAAATAGAAATGCAAGACTGTGCTTGACCCCAGGACTGTGAAGGCGGCAGCAGTGGAGCTCGGAACCCTGCGTGGGGCCCCTGGGGGGCGGGAGGTTCTGGGTGAAGGCAAGGGTCCCACAGGCAAGACGCCAAGCTGTCACCCCGTCCGCAGGCCCTGGCAAAGGAAGGCCCAAGCCCTAGCCTGGTGCTGCGGCATGTCCTACCAAAGAGTCGTGACTCCTCTGGGCCTCAGTAAAGTGTGCTTGGACACAGAGGGATGGAGGTGTGGCTGGGGGTGAAAACACTCCTGTGCTAAGAAAACTACAAGTGCCTGTTATGTCGTGAAAGCACTGTGCAAACTCACACTCCTGGCCCTCCTATGCCCCACACCCCTACTCCCCTGGCACCTCACCAAGGCCACGCACGCCTGGTGGGCAGGTAGGCACCAGCTGTGCAGCCTCGGTCAGGTGACCGCAGCTCTCTGAGCCTCAGTGTCCTCCTCTGAGAGACGGGACTCGCAGCAACACCCACCCCACTGGGCTGCTCTGAGGACCAGGTGAGGTAGCCCAGAAAGGACTGAAAGTAGAGTCAGGCACTGGTTACAACGTACTGCATCACCCAGATTGTGCAAGTTCCTAGTATAGCGAGCTTCATGCTTACAGAGCATGTGCTCTGTGGAGCTGGTGTGTAGGGTTAAGAGAGAAAACAACCATCTCTGCCCTTCCTGACTGGGGGACATTTATAGCAAGCAGAAGCCTGGATGGTGTTGCGCTTCCTCTGCCCTCCTGCTAGGGAGAGCTGCCTCTGTCTCCGGAAGAGACAGAAATGGCAGAGATTTCTCCATTATCCTTTCTCTAAAAATGGGGGGAATAAAAACCAAAAAGGAGAACTCCTGGGCTTGAAGGGACGTGGTGAACCCACAGTGTTTGTTCCTTGTAGAGTCAACAGTGGCCCAGTCTCAGGACTTGCCCTGGGCAAAGACCTAGGTGACCACTGGGGAGGGGAGGTGGGGCCACCAGAAAAGTGTCCCACATAAAAACACAACAGTCCACTTTGCTGGAGGTTGGTCACAGCATTTGTGTAAAGCCTCAGAGCTAAAAGGCTCAATGGGAAGCACCTTAAAACTCCCCTTCAGGGCCCTCCCTAGTGGCATAGTGGGTTGGAGCACAGCACAGCAGCCGCTTCGGTGTGAGTTTGATCCCGGCCCTGTTGGTGACCCACATGGCGTGGCAGACCTCTCCTGTCTCGCCCACTGCTCCACTCAGCAGTGTACTTCATCGATCTGCCTGTTCTGCTCCCCACTCTGTCTCTGTGAATTCTCTCACCGCCCCCACACCTCTGGCCTGTACCCCAGTTCTGTATGCACAAATAAATAAATCTTTAAAAACAAAAAACTCCCTTTCAGGGACAGCCCAGAGGGGCTGACTCACAGGAGGAAGCTCGATGCATAGAGCGGCCTGCCAGGCCCTCACGCCGGCTACCCAAACCCTCCGCGCCAGGAAACCTCCCATCTACTCCATTTCGTCATTTTACCACGGAGGCGCATTCAGTCATTCAGGGTCAAAGTAAAGCCTGAATGCAGTTCTTGACTCCTTAGACAGTGCTGGGGCCCCCAGTGCCAGCCGCCCTTCTCTGCACCTGGATGGGTAAGGAAGGGCAGAGCCCACCACTGCCTAAGGCAGAATTCTGCACCCACCAGGGCTTCATCAGGTGGACAGAGAACAGCCTCGAACACAGAATCACTCAGTGAGAAAAGCATTCCTTCTGGAAGTCTCTTCTTCAATTGTCTTCCTCACATCAAAAAGAAGTCTCACTTCTGTGCTATCATGCCTCTGAAGCTTGCTAATGCACAGAGAGGCCTGGGGCAGGGCATCCACAATGGAACCCCGTTTTGTTTCACTGGGCCAGATGTGATGGCTGCCCTCAGTCACAGCAATGCTGACTTCTCCACCGATGCTAGCAATGCTTCCCATGCAAACAGCTTTGAGTGAAACAGCAAGAAGATGAAAACTATTTGAAAGATTGCTTAATAGTCTTAACTTACAGAACTGTCTTTAGCAGTGAGGGCTGACGTGTCTAAAATTCTGTGGTTTGCAAAATGCTTTTATATAAAGTTTAGTTTGGTAAACACTTTGTGATTTAAATACATGCATTCCACTCTATCAGCTAAAATATGCCTTCAGCCTGACTCAAGCTCTAATTCTTGTATGAAGAGTTGTGTGGGAGCTCTGGCACTGACATAAACATTTTGGACAGTTAAAAACCAGGCCTGGATGAAAAGGCAGATCAATGACCCTACTCCTACATTCATTTCAGTAAATGGGTCTCTTCCTCCCCAGATACATTCTGAGCACCATACTCCAGATGCGAAACTCCTCCAGATTCAATATGTCGATAGAATTTTGAATGACACTGGCCTCTAGTAAGACAATGAGTAAAGACAACTGGCCAAGGGAAAGGCTGACAGCCTAGGCAGATGCAGGAAACCAGGCCAGAGGAGGCCGGGCAGGCTGACCCTGCCGGGCGCTGGGACATACCTTCACGTCCTCCACCTTCATGCGTGTGCCCTCCTTGCCCACAAAGATGTCGTCGATGTCCACCAGGATGTAGCGCTCCAAAGGCAGCGACAGGCGCTTGCCAGTGAGGAAGGCCACGGCGTCGACAAAGACGAGCTTGTGCAGCCAGAAGTTGAGGTTGTTGCCGAACAGCACGCGCTGGATGCCGTCGTGGAGGCCCAGGTCCTGGACCACCGTGGCGTGCAGCGCAGCGTGCAGGCCAGCGTCTGCGCCCAGGTGTGGGATGGACTCGGACGAGCGCGTCTTGGCCAACAGCACCGGCTCATAGGTGGAGTGGTTCGACTGGAACACCGTCCAGTCCTCGCCCGGCAACACACCCTTCTCCACCTCGCTGGGCCTCGTCACGTAGAGCAGAGGGGACTTGGGGTTGATACTGCAGTCCTTCAGGCCCAGGTTCGAGTGCAGGAACAGGGGGAAGCCCTTGAGCTGCGCGCTCAGCAGGCTGTTCTCGTTGGCCTGTGGGGGCAGTGGGTGTCAGATCCAGAACCCCAGCGGCCACAGGCTCTCAGGAGGCGGTGGAGGCATGTCATTAATGTTCACCTCGTGGAAGCTGCCCATCCCCCCGACTCTGTGCCAAGCTGTGGAAACCAGTTCCCCGACCTGAGACAACACCAGCCATGCAGGACGCGTGCACCGAAGCCAGGCTGTGTGTGGTTGTGCGCTGCCCTCGCAGGGGTGCCGCTAACCCTCACAGTGACCCAGGAGGAGGTGGAGCTGTCGCTGCCACTTCACTGAGCCCAGAGACACAAGGTCATGGCCCCAAACCACACACTGCAGCAGGTAAGGGCATGAAGTCCACCCCTAGACCACCTGGCCTTGGGAAACCCACAACCTCTCTGTGCCTTAGTTTCCTCTGCTATATGTGGGAAAGAATGAAAACTACCTCGTGGGGGAGGGTGAGTGTTAAAGCCAGCAAAGTACTCAGAACAGAGCCAGTCATTCTGTCCTCACGCCAGGCTGGAGGGCAGGATCCTTGGTCACGGCCCACACGAGGGAAACTGGCGTTAGGGGAGTGCCGCCCCAAGTCACACAGGGGTCAAGAGGACCCCGATTTGAGCCAGAGGGTCTGAGCCTGGGGTCCACAAACCAGACCTGCCTGAGGTTCCAAATGGGCTTATGCCACACAGCCCTGTCTTCAGGAGAATCTTGGGGAAATGCCAGTGCAGAAGAGATCAAAGAGGTCTCCATGGGGGCTGCAGGAACAAAGACACTCAGCATTCCCACCTCTCCACATGCTCCCGGCACCCTAAGGCCAGTCGCTCCCTGCCAGGAATCTAATTCTCCATGCCCTTTTCCTTCCAGGGTCTGCGGCCTGTTCCTTGGGGATCTGCCAGTGGTACCCACAGTCCCCTCCCCCCTCCCGAGGCTCACAACCCTTGCACCTTCATGCCATCCTTCACTTTCCTAGCCACCTACTTCTAGTTATGGTACAATTTGTTCTTGTCCCTGTGCCAGTTCCATTCTGCCTTGGCCTGGCAAACTCCTGCTCATCCTTTAAAACCCAGTGCATCATACCCTCTCCTCTGCACTGACCATGCTGGAGCCACAGCCTCACCCTGAGGTGGAACCTGTCCAGGGGGTCTCTCCCACCCCTCTGCACCCTGAAAGCCGGCGCTATCCCACCAGCCTGCACCCTCTGAGGCAGGCGCTGCCTCACTGCCTTTGGGATCCCTGTTACTCAATCTAGGCTTTACACCCAGGGGGATCAAACACATGTTTGATAAGTGGATTTTTTAAAAGAATAAAAGGGGCCCTCCCTGGTGGCGCAGCGGGTTAAAGCACAGCACTGAGAATCTGAAGCCACTTCCGCATGAGTTCGATTCCCGCC